CACAAATTTTGTTGTGTTGTGGCCTCAGCGATTGCAGCTTGTCGCCGGCGCATGCAAAGCTAGCAAAATAATAATTGAGCAGCCACCATTTGGCAGACTTTGTGGCGGGACTCACCCAGGCAACAGTCGCGTCCGCGTGTTACTTAATGTGCCCCGATAGACGAAGACGACGCAGATGCTCGCAACTGGCAACTCGCAACTGGCAACTGGCGACTGGCTCCAATTGCCAATCTCAGGCGGAACCAACTGGCTTCTGGCCGTCCCCCCAGTTGGCCAGTTGACCAGTTGACCAGCTAGCAGCTAGCAGGTTGCGATGAAATTACTCCAATTTCGAGACAAGTATTTTTGGTCATATTTAGCAAACAGGAATCGAGCTGCGAGCTGCGAGCATCGCAGTTCCTAAAGCTGCCAGCTCGACTTGAAATGGCGATGAAATCGCTGCTCACCCAAGCGCACTGGTTCAGGCGATACACACACACACACACACACACACACACATACGTCATACATGTGTGTATACACATGCAATATAATGGATCTTGTCGTCCTCGGATGAGTTGACCAAGTGTTTAAGTAACTGTCAACGAGGCTCCGGGTTCGAATCTAAAACTTGGACTGGAGCCGAGGATAATATATTATTAGTTAATATTAGCACAGCAATATTAATAATAATAATAATAATTATATCAATAATAATAATAATAATAATAATAATAATAATAATAATAATAATAATATCAGTAATAATAATAATAATAATAATAATAATAATAATATGAGTAATAATAATAATTATAATGATAATAATAATAATAATAATATTAAAAATAATTATTTACTTTTTTATTACGTTTAAATAGACTCCTTTACGGATAACGACAATCGATTGGCATTCAATAAAAATCTTTGATGCCAAAAAGGATTTCGGTTTTGCATTAACCAATATCAAGTTTTTTTTTTAAATCTCGGGAAATATGTATTCTGACTATGTTTTTTGTTGCGAAATGTTTAGTCTTAAGGCTAATGACTCGAGTAAATCGGGAAAGATTCGGAAATGATATACCGTATTGGACTCTAAGAAATCACGACTAGCGACTGGCATAAACATATAGATATTTGATAGGGGCAAAAGCAGATGTTGGGTACGAATAGGCTTGTGGCTTTGGGAGTTTTAGATGCAGCAGGCTAATATATCTTTGGCATGACAATTTCGTTGCAATTCAATGCGTTTGGTTACACTGTGCAATATTTGAATGCGCCTGCTCTGGCTGTAACGCAACCAGAGCAACTGCAGCAGAGTACAGAGAACATTGGGCGACGGGAATGGAGAGAATGGAGACGGAGTTGTGGCGACGACAGTGTCATCGCCATTGTCGCTGTGCTGGCCAAAGCTAAAACCGAACCAAATGCGAAAATATTTTATGGAAAAGTGGAACAATCGATTAAGCATTACAACAACAATACGAATGGAAAAGCAAGCGCACAGATGCGGCAGCTGTTATTAGGGCAGCGAGCGGTGCCGCCCAAGCACCAACAGAGCAATAAATACCCACATATGAATGTCGAAAACCCACCCAGAAGGGCATTTGGTGCACCTACAAGCGGCGCACTTGATTGATGCGGCACGACAGCAAAAACAATGAGGCGGCAGCAGCAGCAGCAACAGCAACAGCAACAACTGCGGCAGCAGCACAATTGTGGTGGCAATTGGTGGTGCGGCTGGTGGTGCGGTGCATAGAAAGTGCAAACAGTTTTGAGGACTTGTCCAGCGATGCGTCTGCAACTGAAAGTTGCCCCGTCTGCCCAGTATAAACAAACAGACGAATGGGGAAACCGATTGCCGCTGACAACAAACGCATGCCACGAGCAACAGCAACAGCAGCAGCTGCAGCGGCTGCGGCGGCGGCGGCGGCGGCGGCAACATCAGCCGGCAAAGCCGATACCGATAGCGATACCGATACCGATACCGCAATGCCGTATTTGTATTCGTGTCTCAGTGTGTCTCACTTTTTGCTGCCCATCAATGTAAAGAAGAAATTTCGCCGTCAGCAGCAGCAACAGCAACAGCAGCAACAGCAGCAGCGGCAGCAGCGCGTCGGCAGCGCTGCTTGCCTCGTGGCCGTCGGCGCCGTTGCGCATGCGAAGTGTTTCGCTACGAGAAAGCAGGTGGATGCAGCATTCGGCGCTTAACCACGGCGCGAACCAGACGCGTTTCTCAACCACAACGCTTGCCGCTCGCTGACCAAGTCGCCAGGCCAACTAACAGAAAGCCAACTGCAAATAAATAAACAAAAGAAATATTATTACAAAATACGGCCAAAACAATCACAACAATAAACTGATAAATCGTTCTTTTTTTTTTTTGGCCAAGTGCAAACATTTTTTTTTATAAACAAAAAAACAAAAAAAAAATAAAAATAAAATAAATAAAAACAAGTCAAGAAGCAGAGAAACATTTCTGTGCGCGAGTGTGTTTTGTGTGTGTTCGAACGCGCGTGTCCTTCATTCATTTTTTTTTTGCAGTTCATTCATAATTACTTTTTTTTTCTCAATTTTGTTGTTAGTTTGTTTCGGCATCATCCAACTTATTTTTTTTTTGTTTTGCAATTTTGTTGTTATTTTCATATATATATATATATTTTTTTGTCCGAATAAACTGTGTGCACATTGTGCGCGCCCCGCTGCATCTCGTTAATTGGCCGCGCGCAACTCGAACTGCAACAACAACTGCAATTAGCAGCTACCGAGCGGCAACATTGTCAACAGCAACAGCAACAACAACAGCAACAACAACAACTAACAACAACAACTGCTTTCGAAAGTCGCATCGAGCACATCCTGTTGTTCGGCATTGCATCAAATTTGGAATTGGAGCCGAGCTCTTGTGGCACAGGTAAGTGTTGCACCGGGCTACCCGCCACACACAATTGGGGCCAGTGGGTGCTGTCGAACAGCCCAGCTCCAGACGGCACCAGACTTGACTTCAATCTGATTCATAGATTGTATAATCGAATAGTCTGAGAGCCTAGTCGCAGCAGGAGCAATCGAATTATTCACAGACACATTTATTTGAGGGTATTTTTTTTTTTTTTTTATAAATAATTTGTCTAGAATTTGAGCAACAAAATAAGGTAATAAATGAAAAAATTAAATAAAAAATGAATTGATCTAAAAAAAAATAACGTTCTTGAATTCAAAAACTCGAATTTCCAATGAATACTTCAATAGAGTTCAAATAATTCTTAATTTAGTATCTACTATCCATCTCAATGTATCTATAACTCAAAGATTTTTCGAAGCTTTCATCTCATGTCCATATTGATTTTCATAGAGTTCATATATGAGATCATACATATATATATATATTCCTTAAGAGTGATCCAAGAGATCCATTGAATTTGATTGAATGTTTGAGAACTTCTGCTTTGAATACAAGGATACGGCTTGGATTCTGTAATATTCGAGCCGTAGCTCAAAGAAGGTCCTTAATTGGTAAAAAAAAAGTTATAATATTTGATAACAATTACTCTTGGATAATTTGGTAACGACTATTTAAATTAGATCCAAAAATGTTTTAGTTGTAGGAAATAAAGCTAAAATGACTTTATATTGATAAGAACAAATGAGAAACTGAACCAAAAGACAGTTTAATTTGGTAGAATCCAGAGATAAATATGCAGATACAGAGAGAGAATATGTACTTCTCTATAAAATAGGTCGTATATCATAAAAATTTCAATAAATAAACTATATGTCATATATTTTATGTGATATAATATTTCACATATATTATGATAATAATTAGCACATGGATAACACATTCTTGAGCTTCTGTTGAAGTAATATTTCAAATAATGTCACTTGTCCAAGTGGAATTTGGGTGGAATACGAGTGGTCGCCTTCCCTTTCTCGCATTATCTTCATGGTATATGGCCATGCTTATTATGGGCATGCCAGGCCTTCCTTTCCCCCCTCTCTAATGATCTTTGCTTCCTTCATCAACCGTCTGTCTCTTTTGCCTGGTCTACTGAAAGTGGCCAGTCTTCTGTCTTCAGTCTTCAGTCAGACTTGAAGTCTTCTAATTGCTCGACTCGTATTTGTCTTGGGCCTGTTGACGGTGACCCAATTGGCTGATGGAACACATTATTAACACATTTCACCTCGCCAGCACCTGACCAGGTGAATAAGTTGTCATTAAAGAGCTGCGGTTGCTTCTTCTCGCAGCCTGTCACTTGGTTTTTTTTTAGTGCTTTTTCTCTTCTTGTCTGTACTTTCAATTTGGTTGCCCAATGGGCAGCTTAGTTTTCAATTTGGGGCGTGGCAGCAACAGGGAAGGGGCAACGTGTAATGGGGTAGGGGCTAGGGAAGAGGTGAAACTTATTGTCAGCGCATGAATAAATGTCAAATCAATCAAACGAATCAGTCAATCAGTCAAGCGGCATTTTAACTGCAAAATTAATAGCAATAAATTATAATTAACCGAGACGCACACACACACATACCCTGCACACACAGTGAACACACACCTGAAAGCGAAAACGGCAATAATAAATAATAATACAAACAACAGCAACAGCAGCAACAACAACATCAACAGCAACATTTGTGAAAAGCTACAAAGTAAACACTTTCTAGTGTTTCAACAATTGTTGTTGTTGCTGTTGCTGCTGCTGCTGCTGCTTCTTCTTGCCACATTTCATTTCATTTGCTTTCCAACAACAATATATTGCAGGCAACAACAGCAACAGCAATAGCAGCAACAAAAGCGCGCACATGACAGCAAAAATAACGTATTAATTGCAGCTTATGCACATTAACAACAACATTAAAAACAGCAAACAACAACAACAAACAGCAGCAACAACAACAACGTGCCAGCTAGCAACATGCAGCGACAACAGCAACACTCACAGCAACAGCATCAACAGCAGCCGCAACAACACCGACAACAACAACAACAACAAAAACAACGTCAACAACAACAAGCACAACAACAACAACAACAACAAGAACAACAACAACAACAACAGCCAAATATCTTAAAGCAGCAACAACAGCAACATCAACAAATGCGTTCCCAAAGCTGTCGACAACGTCTGGGGATCAAAAAGATTTGGCTGCCGCTTATCATTTTCCTTTCACTGCAGGTGAGCAATAACAACAACAACAGCAACAACAACATAAGCTCCTTTTCATCAGCCACACACACATAATTTAAATCTATTGTAGCTAATGCCAAGCAGCAGCAGCAACAACAACAACAACAACAGGTGCAATAAATAATTGGCAATTCAACAAGTTCGATAATTGTCGATAATTATCGATAAGCGCATTTGTGTTCGAAGTGAAAGAGTTTTCGACTTATCGAGCTTTAAATTGTATTCATTTTTATTTGAAAGTTTCAAAAGAATCTAAAATTTTAGTTTGCTTTAGAATGTCGTAGATTAAATATCAGACATAGACACTATCCTCTAACGTTAGTTTTAATAAGATTTTGTTTGTTTTTAGTTTGAAGAGTTATCGAAGAGCGCGAGCTTTAAAGTAGCTTTAAGTAGTATCCGTTCTCATTTGAGTTAGCTCTGATATTTCGTAGGTTGAATATTCTGGCAGACATAGGCACAATCTTGGATCGTTAGTTTAATGTTAAGAAACTTAATTTTCAAACGATTATTATTCCCATGTCAGCTAAATGATAAGTGTTTGGGTTCTCTAGACAAAGTTATCCTAAGGCCTGAATATATGATATGAGTATAAAGTATATAATCTAGCTAATTTCTTAGTTCTCTATGGAATATCGAAGAATCGATTACAAAACGATTCATTAGTTGATCGATAATTAGTTATCGATGCTTTCGATAAGTTGTTTGGTTTCTTTGAGTAGCCATAATTGCCAGCTAATAAGAAAGTCTCTAAATTTAGATAGATCTATATTAAGATCAGGCTTACAATGTGCTATTCTGTTTTTTAAGGGTATTAAACGTAGTCATATGTTATCGATCAGACTAAAATCGATATATGAAAAGTCTTTCGCCTGGAGGTTTAATAAAACTCAACAATATATTATCTTCCCATGATTTCCACTAAACATATCTTCCCCACAAGCTCATAGAAAGCAAAGATTTGGCTGTTTATCCCATCAAGTGGGCGATCCGCGTTCCACGTTCCCCGTTCCCCGTTCCGCGTTCCTTCCTCCACGTTCCCCATTGTCAGGTCTATGACACAATTGAGACGTGGGCTCGAAAATGATTTCCCTTTCCTTGGCTGCACGATTGCTTCAACGGCCGCTGGCAAAAACTCTTCTTTTTTTTTGTTCATCTTTTTGTTTTTTTTTTTTTTTCTGGTATTTTTGTTTTCATTTTTCCCAGCCTCAGCTGCGTTCAACTTTGAACCAACGGCCAGATCTTGTCCAGGTTTTTGTGTGCTGCCAAAAAAAAAAAACAAAAAAAATAAGATTTTCGCATTCTCTGGACAAGAGAAGAGCTGCTGCTGCTGCTGCTGTTGCTGCTGCTGCTGTCGACGCTTTTTCACGTTTACTTTCTCTCGGAGTCAGAGTCGGAGCCGGAGCCAGACGGCAACTCGACATTTCAGCATTGGTCGAGGTCAAGATTAACAACAACAGCCGGCATTGGCTCTGGCACCAGCTTTGGCTTTGGCTTTGTCTTTGGTTCCGTCTTTAGCTCCGGCTCTGGCTGCCGCATCATTAGTTGTCGCATTAGCAGCAGCTGCTGCTGCTGCTGCTGCAGCAACAACAACAACAGCAGCTCACGACTTTTTTGCGCATTGCCCGTCGCCAAAATGGAAAACTTGGCACACATTTCTATTAACGCAGGCGCTGGCCTTCTAAAAACACCATACCCTGCCTCTCTATCCCTCCCCTACGGCAGCCAGCCTTGCGCCCACACAGCTTGCCGCCTCTTCCCCTCTCCGCCAGCTTCTGATGCTGCTCAGCGGCAACGCGTTCTATCGCATTGCGGAACCGGATCACGTGCATCATCAAAATCTAAAATCGAAATGAAACACCAGCCCCTACTTCCCTCTCTCTCTCTCTCTCACTTCACCCGCCCCCTGCCACCCTTCTCGCTGCCTCCTCGTTATTATTCATGTTCGTCTTCCATGGGCTGCTCCAAATCACGTTCCCGCTGCCGACTTGGCATGCAAAATTTATTTGGTGTTTTTTTGATATTTTTAGAATTTGTTTTTGCAACTCGTTTTGCCAATTTATCTGAGTGGATGTGTTTGTTATTGTCGTCTGCCGCCTGGGCATCATCACTTTCTACCTTAAACAGGATTGGGGCAGGATGCCACCGCGTAGCACGTCGCGCTGATTATGTGACATCCCCATTGAAGCCGCTGCTGGGAGAAAGTTGTTTTGGGCCCGCGGCACAGTTTGGTCCAAAGCAAATACTTGGCTTGCCTCTCTGGCCAGCTGGCCAGATAGACAGTCTGGCATTTACAGTGTCTGCCAAATGTTAAGTCGCTTCTACACTTGTCTCAACCCCTCGAACCTCAAACCAAAATAATCGAAAAAATATATATATATATACGTAAAAATAAAAATATATATATAAAATATTATTATAATGGCTCGCATTATTCCCGCCTAAAACAAGACTGGGTCTGTCTGTCAAATTTAATCTTGACTATATTTAGTCGATATTCTATTAAAATATATCTAAAATAAAGAAATCTAAAGTCAGCCCAAATAATATATTATTAATATGAATATTTCGAAAATGCTGTTAAATTTTAGAAAATGTTCATAAAGTCAGGATTAAGATAACTTGAGAGCGAAGAAGAAAATGTTTAGAAAATATTTTCGAAAAATATGCAAAAGTTTTAGTATTAAACTGAAAATGATATATAGAAAACAAGTCAGGCAAAGAATCAATGGAAAACGTTTTGTTGGATTGAACACGATCAAGTAATTAGCTTGCCTTGGATGCCAAACGATTCAAGTGTTCCATCCGGTTCTGTGCTGCTCCCCGTTTCTAGCCTTGACATCGTTTTGGCCAACGCGGATCTCTGGGCCAATTGGGTCGCTTGAGATGCTAGCAAAAAGAAAGAAGGAAGGAAAGAAAGAAAGAAGTATATATATGTATGGTAAAAAAGTGAAATTGTTACACTTTGCGCTGTTCTCCTTTGTTGTTGTTGTTGTTGTTGTTGTTGGTTTTCCTTATGCAATTGAATCGCAAGTCGCATCCGCCATTCGCCATTCGCCAGTTGCCAATTGGCAATTGGCATGCGACATGTGGCTGCTCCCATTGTACTTAGTTGAAATTCTTGCCATGCGCTCTATGTGTGTGTGTGTGTGTGTGTGTGTGTGTGTGTGTGTGTGCTCTGCTTCTTCTGCTTTGCTGACCCATTTACTCGGTTTCTGTGCAGCTCGCTTTGATCCGCGCGGATGAGGTTGAGGTGGTGAAGGCAATCGCTGGCGGCGGCAATGATGAGCTCTCCATGGGACTTAGCGAGCAAGACAATGAGGTGGATCAAATGGCACTCGAATCGGAACAGGAACAGCAGCAACAGCAGCAGCAGCAGCAACAACAGCAGCAGCAACAACAACAGCAACAGCAGCAGCAGCAGCAGCAACTACAACAACAACAACAGCAGCAGCAGCTGCAGCAGCAGCAACAATCCATGTCGGGGCCCAAGGTGCAGGTGCATTACCAGCACAATGGCCCGCCGCAGGCACCACCCGGTCTCAGTCTGGGCCTGGGCCCAGCTAGAAGTGAGTCTGCAGCAAGTCAGCAAAGTACATAACCAGCTAATCAATCTAATCCCATGCAATGCAGGCAACAACCATCAGAATATACCCATGAGCTTTGGACAGCCGTTTGGACCGCCGCCGCCGCCGGGCGCACAATTCTATAAGGGACCACCGCCGCCGGCACCGCAGCGTCCACCGCCGCCGCCGCCGCAGGTGCAGCAGGTGCAACAGCAGGTGCAGCAGGTGCAGGTGCAATCGCTGCCCGATCTGAGCGTGGGCGCCTCCAGCAACAACGAGATCTGGGCCTCGCCCGTTCAGGATATGCCCAAGATCGTTTCGCTGGACGTTAAGTGCGAGAAGAGCGGCATGAAGGTCTTTGTGCAGTTCGACAAGCCCTTCAATGGCATCGTCTTCTCCAAGGGCCACTACAGCAACATGAACTGTGTGCATTTGCCCTCCGGCCTGGGCCGCAGCTCGGCCAGCTTTGATATTGGACTGCACGAATGCGGCACCGCCGGCAACACCGACAACTACAATCAGGGCTACGGGCATGAGGCTGGCGGCGGTGCCGGAGCTGGCACGTACTTTGAGAACATCATTGTCATCCAGTACGATCCGCAGGTGCAGGAGGTGTGGGATCAGGCGCGCAAGCTGCGCTGCACCTGGCACGATCAGTACGAGAAAAGCGTCACCTTCCGGCCGTTCCCGGTGGACATGCTGGATGTGGTGCGCGCCGATTTTGCCGGCGACAATGTCGGCTGCTGGATGCAAATCCAGGTGGGCAAGGGTCCTTGGGCATCGGAAGTCTCCGGCCTGGTCAAAATCGGCCAGACCATGACCATGGTGCTGGCCATCAAGGACGATGACTCCAAATTCGATATGCTTGTGCGCAACTGTGTTGCCCACGATGGTAAACGTGCGCCCATCCAGCTGGTGGATCAGCGCGGCTGCGTCACCCGACCCAAGCTAATGTCACGCTTCACCAAGATCAAGAACTTTGGCGCGTCCGCCTCGGTGCTGTCGTATGCCCACTTCCAGGCGTTCAAGTTCCCCGACTCGATGGAGGTGCACTTCCAGTGCACCATACAGATCTGTCGCTACCATTGCCCGGATCAGTGCAGCGCCGAGACAAATCTACAGGATGTACACCATCTGCAGGTGGGGCCCGAGTCCCAGTATGGCCCGCCGCCGCCGCAGCTGCATGTGGATGCCTATCATGTGGCCAGTGCCATTGGCAAGCGACGCGACGAGCGACGCGTCCAGCGACGGGCACGCGCCGTAGCCGAGACCACGGAGCAGGTGGGCCTCAATCGCATCATCAAGGTGGTGTCCTCCGGCGATCTGACCTTTGCCATTGACGAGCAGGCGGCCGGCAACGGCAACGGCAATGGCAACGGCACCAACAACAGCAACACATTGCCCCAGACCATGGTGTTCCCGGTGCGAGAGGAGGGACTCATTTGCATGACCACGCCGGGCTTTGCCATTACGCTTATTGTGCTGCTGGGAATTTTGGTCACATCCTGCCTCATCTCGGCGGTGCTCTACGTACGCCTGAGGCCCTTCTCCAGCTTCACCGCCAAGGAGCGCGCCGTCGCCTTTACGAATCCACAGCTGGCGGCCGCCGCCCTGCCCGTCATCCATCTGCCGTCGCCGGCCGATGCACTGCCGGGCACGCTCTCCAAGAAGCGGGCGCTCTCATGAGCGACACGTACGGTATGATCCATCTCCGTTTCAGATTCCTTCCGCCTTCCCGCCTGAACTAGTTTAGGCCATCAAGTTTGCTAATTGCTATTGATTAGTTTAATGTTTGTCACAAATTTACAATAATTATATAGTTCATGCCGTTAACTGGGTTTCCCCGTTTCCAATCTCCGCAAATTCCAACAATTTTCCAACACTTATCCCAGCCCTTGCTCATTCTTCCTTTCACTCTCTCGCAATCTCTCTTTCTCTCTCTCACTTGATCTGTCTCTCTGTTGGTGGTAGTCAATTAAAAATGAAAAAGAAGAAGATTTAACACAATTTATAATATGCTTTAGCTTAAGTCTAGGTTCTACTTTAAATCGGTGCTAAGCCAATGCTCACAGTTCAAACATATGGCCAATCTGGCAACTCTATCAGCTCTGTTAGCTCTGTCCCTTTCATGCAACTGTCTCTCTTGCTATCCTTTTCTCTCAAGGTTCCTGCTCATAGCTAGTTAGAGTTAAGCAGGTGTGGCAACGCTATGTATTAGCCTGTCAATTGGTGCGTTGTTGCCATATGCGCAATGTACAACAAGGTGGCAAGGCTGGCAGCTATTCAAATTCAGCTCTGTGCTGCTGACGAACTTGCAAAGTCCATGGCAAACTTGCTGATAACTTTAACGGGCACTTGAGCTATTGGATCCACATGTTATAGACTCTTCTTAAGACTATCTTAATACATATACTTACAATATGCTTATACTTATATGCACGCATTAGACATATGTGTGCGTGTATTTCAATTAGTCACTAAATATTTTAAGTGTTTTAAACTTAGTCTAAGCTCCGGATTCGATTCTTTGATCCACAGACCCTTCGATCCTTGATTTAACATCTGGTTTATTTATAATTGTTGCCTCATATGGAGCGTATCTAATTTATACTTCTATTTATTTATTTATTTTACCACCTAGTTGAATCCGACATAACCCGTTTTTTTATTACGAGTATTTGTTTTTTTTTGTTTTTTTTTTTGTATTAATATTATTATTATTATTATAATTGTAATTCCTGCAAGCAGAGAAGGAAATTAAGTTAACAACGTATTCAATAAATCGTTTATAACAACACATATCGGACACTTTAATCGAATTCCTTAGCTGAATAATACAAATACCGAGCGTACGAGTACTCACATAACCTTTATATCCAATTATCTATTTACTTATTTACGAAATGTACGAATTACAAATACAGCATTGCATGTATGTACGAGCAAAACCAATAAACGACAATTATAAAAGAGTTATATTATGCTGTTTTATTTATTTTTATTACGATCCAACATGATAAACTGCTGAAGGAGCTTCTCTCTGTTGCTGCACTTATCTCTGTTTAACTCCATATCAGAGTGGATGTCAAGTTTACGTGTGACCAATTGTTATCAAATCTCCATCAGATTTACCAAGGTGGCAACGCTGCAAGACGCATTCTTAGCCGCCTAAATGCATGCAGCGAAAATTGTGCCTTAGGCTTATGACAATCCAAGGTATATAAACCCCTATTTAAATTTCAAGCGTTATTTAAAAATATTAAATCGAATATATTTCAAAGGGGTATTGGACAAAAGTATTCCGAGCTCCAGATGATGATAAAGTTTGCTTCTTCATAACTTTCGGCAGTACTTTGCTTCAGAATTCTTGATTACCTTTGGTATTTAAAGACCAATCTTTATGTCAGGGCCAAGATTTCATCTTTCTTTGTACATCGGACAATATATACAAATTTTAAGTCTCAATTATTTAGCTTTTGTTTTTAAGTTAAGTTCTTAGCTTCCAGTTGGCCCGGACAACGCCGGGTAATTTCTTGCAGTGTTAAGTTAAAGACGCATCATTTATCATATTTATAGTATATTTAATCTTAACTATAAGTATTTATTTTGTTTTTGCATTTAGTTCATTACAATTGTCAGAGTTTTGTTTTGTTCACTTTTCTTTAGCTTTACGAGTATTAATTAAAAAAAATGTTAATTAAATAAAGATTGTATAAATTATTTGGCCTTGACAACCGATTTGCATTTGTTGTGGTTTTGTTTTCGTTTGTTTTGTTGATTCAATTTCTCTAATAATAATTTACTAATTGTTTAAATAGGTAATAAGTACATAAGGCCAAATTCACATAGATTAGAAATATGGTTTTCAAATTTCAGACAAAAGAAAATCATGCCAAAAGTATGCGTACATATATATATATATATATATGCACTATATATGCCCTATTGCTGATCTATGTGAATTTAGATGTATGAAAAAGTTGAAAATTTTATCTAAAATTTCGCTTAAAATTCGCTAAACGCCGCATTCGAATGACTTGTTGATGGATTTTGAAATATTTTCGAACATTTTTCAAATATTATGCGATTCTCTCTGTAGCATAGTTTAGATTCTTATAGAGTGTAAGGTCAATAAATAAATAAGTGTCCCCTAATTTTAGTCATGTGCGTTGATCTATTTAGAAATACGTTTATTGTATATATTGGGCAAACTCTATTGTTATTTGTATTCTTCGTTTATGTTATTGCAGATTTTACGACTAAATGCACCCAGTAAAAAAAAATACACATAAATAAATAAATATTATGCAGCACCAAAAAAAAAAAAAAAACACTTGATCGGGACATTGAACGCATCTCTCTATCGGATCAGTTGGGAGTGTTGGGTACCAACCAATTGCCTTCAAGTATTGCCATGTTGCCCGTTTCAGCTGACGAGAGCAAAGAACTAACGAGTAAGAAACTAACGAGTGGACGAATACGTGTTCCATTCCACATTCCAGCTAGCACATGAATCAATGCACGTTGCATTCTATTCGCTTTTCCCACTTTCCGAGCTGCTAACTAAGGACTGAAAAGGTTTTAAAGTGAACACGACGGTGTTTCATGCCATTTTCGTTCCCTTCTATTTATTTGTCACACATGAGCCGAAGCATGTTAAGCTTTGATATATTTCTTCTAGCGAAATTCTCCATTTCATTATGTTTCTGTTCTTCTTTAACTTGCGAATGAATGGAAAACATACTAAATTCCGCTCTCTTTCTCTCTGTTACTTACTAACGAATTTGGACATCGTCGGATGTATATTTCATTGCATTTTGTTTTCTATTTCTATTCCAAAGTTAACGAGTGAAAGAAAGCTTTATCCATGCCATTCCATTCCATTCCATTCGGTTTCTACTCAATTGCATGCATGTTCCATTCCATTGCGTTTCCTGAAATGAAAACGTGCTCCATTCCATTCTGTTTCTTCTCTATCTTTGTGGCTACTTCTTCTACTTAATTTGTCTTCTATCTGTGCTGAGTTTGGAAAAGGTGCAGGTGCAAAACCCGCCAGTCAGTAGGACATTTTCTTTGTGGTTAAACAAAAAAAACAAAAAAAATATATATAGTATAAATAAATAAGTTAAAACTGTTGCAGCAGGATTGGGGCTAGGCTTGAGGGGGCAGGGACAGGGACAGGGGCAGGGAACTAGAAGCGATCCCTCACTGCACCGTTTCATGGCCAGCAGTGGCGCTGGGCAACTGTTGCTGCTGCTGTTGTTGCTGCTGCTGCTGCTGCTGTTGTTGCAGGTGTCGCAAGCGGAAGAGGCGCAGCGTCATCCAGGAGGCCAGTGTGCCCGGCACGGGCATGGGCGTCTGCTTCTCGAGCGCCTCCTTCTGCAGCTGATAGCGATAGAGCAGTGAGCCGGCAATTAGCGCCGAGACAATGGTCGCCGAGATGACCACGATGAAGAGTATGCTGAAGCCGGGCACCGGCATGCAAATGCCGTAGACGACCTCCTCACTGATCTTGCCCTGAAAGACGGTGACCGCCTCCTGTTTGGAGTCCGGCGAGAAGGCCAGATCCGCCTCAGAGATGACATCGTACAGCCCGCTGACGCCGACATCGGCGCTGCGCACCTTGCGATCCGCTATGACCAAGGATCGACGACGCCGGCGGCTGCTGCCTTGCGGCGTCTGTGTCTGCGTCTGTGTCGCCGTCGACTCTGTGGAGCTGTTGGCATTTGGCTCGTCGAGATCAATGTGATCATCGCGCGTTTGTTTCAATGCCTCCGCCTGTGGCCGGTAAACGGGACGCGGCACATCATCCAGCTCAGATTTCGGCTCCAGAGAGCGCGGTCCGGCCATGGGCACGCCCATGCGCTTTTGCGCCTCCAGCTGGCGTGGACCGTGCGGAAATTTGCCGCTCTTCTTAAGTCCCAAATAGCGCTCACCGTCGCCATCCATATCGCTCAAATCATCGTCGCCAAAGAGATCGGACAGATCGGCCTCCTCATCGGGGTCCTCGTGCACGGGTCGCGGCTGCAGATTGCCGCTCTTCTCCTCGTACAGATCAGGCCCACCGCCGCCGCCGCCAGCACCGCCGCCCATGGTCTGTTTGTGATCGTGTATGATGTCCTCGTAGAAGATGTCATGATCCATACCCATGCCCATGCCCAAGCCCATGCCCAGGCCATGGTGTCCGGACTGCGGACCGTGACCCAGGTTGGCCGGCGGCATGGCCAGATCTCTGTGCATATCATTGTTGCTGCTGCTGCCCATGGCATCACCGATGTGCACATCCTTGCGCTCGTGGGCATTGCCAATGGCCGGGCCTAGCCCCTCGCCGGCCGCCGTGTTCTGGCAGTGATCCAGGCAGCCGTGTCGGCAAATCTCGACCTTGCACTTGATGTGCACGCTGAGCGCATCCGGAAACTTGAAGGCATGGAAGAAGGCATAGGTTATGACCGTGGCGCGCTCATCGGGTGCGCGCGCCTTGAGGAAGCGTGAGATCATCTTGGGACGCAGCACACAGCCAAACTCATCCGATAGATTGATGACATGTCCCGAGCCGTCCGAGGCGACGCACGACTTGACGCGCATATCAAATTCACCTGGACAAAGAAAGAGAGAGAGAGAGTCGTTAGTTGGGGAGCAGGAACAGCTGGATTTGCTGCTGGCCACTTACCGCGATAGTCGTTGATGGCCACCACCAAGGTGAGCGTCGATCCCAGTGGCACAATGCCGCTCACCGGCGGCGCCCAGGGTCCCTTGCCATGTTGTATCTCCATCCAGCAATCAACATTATCGCCTGTGCGAGACGAAGGGGAGGGAGAGCAGCAGACAAAATGTTATTTTTTTTAATTTTTGGGGTCAGCTAATTGAAAAAGTAAACGAGCAGAGCTGCCAGACTAGCAGATACCCTGTACCCAGCTTCGGCCATTACGTCCCTTAGCTTCAATTGGGGCTATGCCCAGTAAAACTTTTAATTAAAAAGCAAAGCAGAAAGAAGTAGGATATATAGATATAGCTCTATAGAATTGGATATATTTATTTATTAGCTTCTAATAACTCGGTTGCCTTTGGTGCTATTCGCGTTTCTCTTGTTGGTTAATTTGTGTATGCTTCAACAATATCTGCATACCAAATTTGGCGTCTTAAACAATTATAGTTCTCGAGATATGGTTAAATGAAAGTTTATATACGGACTGACATGGTTTGATTGTCTCAAGAATATATGTATATAGAATAGATAGGAGGTGTTTTGTCTGTTACATACATGTTCACATAATCATGATGCCCGTTTGCCAATGGGTACAGGGTATGCGAAGGAAAGAGAAAAGGCCAAGGGCCCACGCTACTTACCGCGAAAGTCAAGCTGTATTACATCCAAATCGGCAATTACCATCGGGGGCTTGGAGGCGGTCTTCTCATAGTCGTTGAACCACTCGCAGCGCAAACGCTTCGCCTCGTCCCAGACCTCCAGCAGATCCTTGTCATACTGCACGACTACCTGCGGTCACAATATGCCATTTAGCGGTTAGCGGTTTAGCGGTTTAGCGGGTTAAGTAAATGGCCCTCGAGCAGGTGAATGCACAGCGTGCAGCAACGTGGGAAAGCGATCAGCGATCAGCGATCAGTGATCAGTTATGCAGCTCAACTCAATGGGCTCCCATGGGCTTGCTTTGGCATATGAGCAGCAGCTAACTTTATGATCGATTCTCTTTTTGAGCACCATGGGAATCTTCATTGAGGAGTCCTGTTTACTGAGCACTGAACACAGATTCGAGGAGCGCTTTTGCCAGCATTTAATTACAGCTGCGTTTGATGGTCCCATGGATAGCATGGTGTATGATTGAGAGACTCAGTATTTAAATCGTGATCGTATTCTCTTCTCAAATATCAAGGCATTTCGATCACTCTTGATCACTCTTCACTAGTAATTTATGTACAATTGCTTTTCCTAAGATGCCTCTCAATGATCGATCGTTGACTTCAGATCGTTCATATACGGGCCAAAGGGTGGATCCCCATCTTGACGTACGATCACTCTCTTTATCGATCTTCCCTTAATGTACGATCAAAATCTTTATTGATCAGGCTCTCCCATTGCTATACGATCACTCTCTTCTCAAATATAATAAGTTGAAAGTTGTTTGCATTTGATAAGCGCTTGTTTTAAGGATCGCTTTCGTATTCCCATTTGCTAAATTTGATGTGAATGGACGTGCCACTTACCGTATTCTCATAGAACTGGCCGTTGAGATCCGGTTTGGTGCCGCAGCGTGAGTACGAGATGCGGAACGAGAAGAACGTCTTGCCCGTCGATGGTGGCACATACACACAACGCGGATCACTGTGTTGTCCTGTGAAAAAAGAAAAACATTGAATAAAGTCCGGCTATGAACAGTGTTTGGTCTTGTCGTACGCACCTTTGGAGCTAACAATGCCTTCGAAGGGATTGGAGAACGTCAAATGTACGTCCATATGATCCTTACCACACATGACCTCCAGTGAAACTATGTTTGGCATACCATCTGGCCGATCCATGGGCCACAGTTCATTACCAGCTATGACTAAACTAAACTATAAGCGAAAATAGAAAAACAAAGATACGGAAATTCAAGCGAAGTCTTATAAAGATTAGAGCATATTGCTCCGACACTAATTGAAGTAAATACAAATAAACGAGGCTTCAGTTATTAACAAACATATTTACGCTCTTTTTCTTACATAAATTGCAAGCCATCTTTGCAGGAACTTACAAGCGGCTTGTAAGGCAGGCTGTGAATAGATGCGTTTTGAAGTCACTTAAGTTCATTCATCACTAAGTTAATTTCTTCTTAGCAAACTATTAAAAAATTTTGGAGCACCTCTTAAAAGCAAGAGGTTTAAGACCAGCTTGAAAAAGTTTACAACCAGCTTGTAAAGTAGACTGTAAGCAAATGAGTTTTGGAGCAACTTCCAATGAACTCCATTTTCACTTAATAAACTATTAGGGAACTTAGGAGCATCTTTTAAGAAGGAAGTTCAAAACCAGCTTGTAAACGTTTTTAACCAGCTTGTAAAACAGATTTTTGGAGCAGCTGGCAAAAGTCTGTTAAATTCCCATTAAATTGCTTGACGTCGACTTCAAAAATACGTTCTTAGCCCCTTAATAAATCCAATTTCAGCACAATTTCACCGATTTACTTGTGCAGAGATATTTAACACGCATTTAGATCGGGACAAACTGTTTGGCAGTGTATGGAATGTGGGAAATGATCAAGGCTGTAAATAACTTGAACATTTCGCAGCGCACTTAATTGACTTTTCTGGATGTAATTTATTTATTTATTTTTTTTTTTTTTTGAGAAAGTTTTTATGTTCGTGCATTTCTAGATCTCTTAACTGATGCGACTGACAACGATATGTAGCCCGTTATAATTTCTAATTAACGCGATTCCCACTGGCAAACTTGACACCTGCTGCTGCCGCCGCTGCTGTTGTTGCTGCTGTTGCCAGCACCTGCCGACAACTGGCAACTGGCAACTGGCAACTGGCATCTGAACTGGAATGGTACGAGGCTGTGCCCGCAGATTGCCCCCTGCATGTTGGAATTTGTTGGTGAGTTAGTTAGTTAGTTGCCTTGATTGCGATTCGCAGGGCGTTAACCCGACTCCTTAAAATTGGCGTTGGCTGCCACAGCCGCGGCCTTGACGGCAGCCGCACACAATGCACATCAGTCTATTGATGTTTTGTGCTTAATTACACTTTTTGGCCCCGCCAAACATGTTGCCAATAAAAACGAAATGCAATGCGCCAAGTTTCCGCTTTAGATTTAGTTTTGCAATTGTTGCCAGGCATCGAGAAAGCAAATTCCAGCCGCAACAGCAACAGCAACAGCAGCTGCCGTGGCCGTGGCCGTGGATGTCGCCGTGCAACTCGTCTAGCTGGCTGGATTTGCATACTTGCCGCAAAGCTGGTTGCCCGGCAGCTCCTAGACGGTGCCAGGCTGGTCTTGGCTTTAATCGAACGGGACAAAATGCAATTTCTTGCTGCACTTGCAGTAAAAGTTGATAACCATTCGCCACGCGAAAAGCACCATTCAAAATTATGAACGACAGCTGCCGCTGCCCCTGTCCGTGCCTCTGCTCCTGCTCTTGCCCCTGCTTCTGCTGCTGCTGCTGCTACCCCATCCAGTTGGCCAAAAGGCGGTGCCAAGTTGTCTGCAGCGTCCACATTGCCAGGCTACATGGATTACACTCGGCAGCAGAGGACTTAACTCGCAGCTAAAGTATCTATTTTGATTTATTTTCGTTTGTTTTTTGAAGGGCGGCAAAACACCTTCAAAAGGTCACACTCCCATTGGGTATAATTTGAGCATACAGAAAGAGACATATCTGATTATATCTGATCCATTTACGTTCTAGATCAGCAACAATAGCCGAGTTGATAAAGCTATGTCCGTCCGTCCGTTCGTTTTTTCTTTCTTGGGGGCTTAAGACATCTTGATAAGCTCAGACATTTACTATTCAGTCTGTCTAGTCTGTCCAAGAAACCCAGCATGTGGCATATGTCAACAAGGACATTAAGTCCTGACCTTCTCGTGAAGCCTTAAATACGTAAATTTGTACAACTTTGAGCCTGGTCCCAAGGCCATTCGCAAGCCATAAAATAATAATCGAAAGGAAATATTTTTTAAATGAAATACATTGAAAATCACTGTGAGGCAACCTTCTGAAGCACTTTCTTAAGTCACGCACATAAAGTAAGTTTGTAGCTGAGACCTCCCTTTGTTGGCATAGGTAGAGATACAAATTAAATGTGAACTGGCAGCCCGAATGAATGTGTGAGTCATTTAAATCATCTGCAAAGCAGTCAGTTGTTTCAAATTATTAAGCCTGTTCAGAGAGCGAGTGAGAGAGAGAGAGAGAGAGGGAAAGAGAGGGAGCGAGGCTTAATGACCCTAACCAGACAACAGAGTCGAGGCTAGATTCTATTGAGCGGACAGCGGTTAATTGCGGTTAACAGAATGACGCGACACTTTTCAAATTAATAATTTAGCTACCTATGTTATGTCTTACCTTTCCCATCACGACCAGTGGGCGGGATGGGTGTGGCGGGACGGCACAGGTAAGCAGCTGCTCACGCACAACCGGTTGCACTATAAAAGTGACTCGACGCTCAAATTAAGAGTTTAGTCAAAGTTTTGCTAGCTCTCCAGTCGGACGGACACAGAAAGAGAGAATACTTAAGAATATGGATCGTTGGTTGAATCGTGTGGCCGTGGTAACCGGCGCCAGTTCGGGCATTGGTGAGGCCTGCTGCAAGGATTTGGTGGCCAAGGGCATGATCGTGGTGGGTTTGGCGCGTCGCGAGAATCAACTCCAGCTGCTGAAGGCGAACATGGACGCAGATCAGGCAAAGCGCTTCCATTACCGCAAGTGTGATGTGAGCGTGGAGCAGCAGGTGATCGATACCTTCGCCTGGATCGACAAACAACTGGGCGGCGCCGATGTGCTGGTCAATAGTGCGGGCATTATGCTGCATACCGAAATCCTGAACTCGCAGTCCAGCGCCGATCTGCGCTCCATACTGGACATCAATGTGCTGGGCGTCGCCTGGTGTACACGTGAGGCGTTCCTCTCGATGCAGCGGCGCAAGGTCAATGACGGACATGTTGTCATTGTGAACAGCATTGCCGGACACTCGGTGCCCGTTGTGCCGCAGATGAGCTTCAATATGTATGCGCCGTCCAAGTATGCGATCACCGCACTGACCGAGGTGCTACGCCAGGAATTCCTCAACAAGGGCACCCAGACAAAGATCACAGTGAGTCGCCCTTGACATACCCTATAACAATTACTTTATGTCTGCTTTCTACCGTAGAGCATAAGTCCCGGCGCTGTAGATACGCAAATTATTGATACGAGCAATTTGTCGTCCCTTGGCGAGTTTCCCCTGTTGCGGTCCGAGGATGTCGCCGATGCGATCTCCTATTGCATTCAGACACCGCCGAATGTTCAAATACACGAGCTCACGATCAAGCCCATCGGCGAGAAGTTCTAAGCTCATCCCAAGGCTATAGATACTCTGTATAAGGCTCGGAACTATTCGCATGACATAAGATAATAGCTCCAATATGGAAGGTCCAAGTCAAACTATATTTATCTCTATTATTATTTTTTTTTTAATTTAGTCTCTATAATATATGATTATATTTCACTAAAAAGTGTGTTTTATTTTGGATATGTTGACATGTTGGAAGTTGTCCTCAGATACAAAAACACAATAGTTAATTAAGTCGGTGCTTGAAATTTGCGTTAAATCTAGAGTAGTCGACTAGGCTATACCCTGTGGCTGCCTCAGTTCTCTAGCCCGACATATGAAATCAACTTTTTATAGATTATGAGTATTCTAGTTAAACATCAATAGTCAACTGTACTCATGAATCACAACTCCCTTGCTGCCCGAACACAGGGTAGGCCAAATGGGTTTTTAATTTCCTGCCAGCTTTTGGGCATGCGTGTGTGTTTGTCTACACTGGGCGAAAGAATACACGTAAGAATTTGTAAGTCATGCTTATTAAATGAAGTTTGTTTTATTGCGTCACGAATCCAAAGCTTATTTTCAGCTTTCAACAAGCAAAAACATTCCCAAACAATTTCGCATGAGTAGCATACGAAATGAAATACGTTCGACAATTAAACAAGTAGGCGCATTCCAGTCGGGTGTGCCCGAAGTGCAGATACCCTTAACCAACATTCCAGCTTCCACATGGACAGACTGCAACTGTTCTTTCTCGGAGCTTGTAGTCCGATCGTAATTACAATTTCTCATACAAAAGTGTTTATTTATCAAGAAGCAAGGCTTTAAAATATAGCTTTTTTTTTCAAAATCTGGATACCATATTTAATGTACCAGGCTGCTGAAATTTGCTAACATGTATTGTGAAACTATGATATAAAAAATATCTAATTCAAATTTTAAGTCTGCAGCGCCTCTTAGCTAGTCATCCTGATCTATAATATATATGCTTTCTTCTGACTGTTACATACTTTTCCACAAGCCAATTATACCCTTTCATTCATTTCTAAGGGGAACAATATGAATATATAAAGATCAGCAAATACAAAACAAACGCGCGCTTTTACATTCAAGTCAGGAGAAACGTAGAATGATATGATCAGTTATTATAACTATAACTGATCATACATAATGATTACATATTATATATATAAATATACTTAATGGAACTAACTGTCTCCATGTAAAACATTCCAGAAAAATAGAATTTCGTCTTGATTTTACTAGCCTCTTGTGAAATTAGGCTACTAAAATCGCTTCTTATGATGACTATCATCAAATCGCACAGAGAGCTAGATAGTTAGAGAGAGAGAGAGAGAGAGAGAGAGAGAGAGAGAGAGGAGAAGCCAAAAGACCCTCTCCCAACCAAATAGACAGCGAGCAAGTCAAGGTTAGATTCTATTAAGTGGGCAGTGGGTTATAGAGCTATCAGCATGACGCGACTCTTTTCGAATCGAACATTTAGATACCTACATATACGAATTACGCTCGCCACAGCGAGGGGTCCGGCAGGTGGGTGTGCCGGGCTGGGCGATCAGCTGCTCACGCAGAACCAGTTGCGCTATAAAACTGACGCCGCCGGAGACATTAGCGTTCAGTCACAGCGTCGTTAGCTCGCCAGCCGGACACAAAAATATATTGAAGAAAATGGATCGTTGGTTGAATCGTGTGGCCGTGGTAACCGGCGCCAGTTCGGGCATTGGTGAGGCCTGCTGCAAGGATTTGGTGGCCAAGGGCTTGGTCGTGGTGGGTTTGGCGCGTCGCGAGAATCGGCTGCAGGAGCTGAAGGCTAAGCTGCCCGCGGATCAGGCAAAGCGCTTCCATTACCGCAAGTGCGATGTGAGCGTGGAGCAGCAGGTGATCGATACCTTCGCCTGGATCGACAAACAGCTGGGCGGCGCCGATGTGCTGATCAATAATGCGGGCATTGTGCGTCACACCAAAATCATCAGCGAAGGCAACAGCGCCGATCTGCGCTCCATACTGGACACCAACGTGCTGGGCGTCTCCTGGTGCACGCGCGAGGCGTTTCTCTCGCTGGAGCGGCGCAAGGTCGACGATGGTCACATACTCATTGTGAACAGCATTGCCGGACACTCGGTGCCCGTTGTGCCGCAAATGAGCCTTAATATGTATGCGCCATCCAAGCATGCGATCACCGCACTGACCGAGGTGCTACGCCAGGAGTTCCTCAACAAGGGCACCAAAATAAAGATCACAGTGAGTCGCACCTGACATACTCTGTCTAACTATATCGATTAGTTTAACAATGTGCTTTTCCCACCATAGAGCATTAGTCCCGGCGGTGTGGATACCGAAATTATTGACAAGTCCCTTTTGGAACGTGTGGGCGATTTTCCCATGCTGCGATCTGAGGATGTCGCCGATGCGATCTCTTATTGCATTCAAACGCCGCCGAATGTCCAAATACACGAGCTCACGATCAAGCCCATTGGCGAGAGATTCTAAGTTCGACAAATGGATGCATTGCATATATAGATACCCTGTAGAAGGCTCCTTGTAAAATTATATTTATTATATATTTTTTTTCTTTTAATAATTATGATCTTTGATTAGATTTTTAAAGGCTTCTGCTTTATATTCGATGCGTTTTTCTTGGTTTGTACAACTTAGAGATTTGCATAAACAAAAAACCATAATACCCATTATTTTATGGGGCATAGGGTATTATAATAGGTAGGTAAAAACACTATAAAACATATTGATCCGATCGTTTCTTTTCACATTCTGTTCCGCTCTCTCTCTGTATCTCTCTATCTCTCTCTGTCTCTCTCACTACCTAGCTATGCCTCTCTCTCTCTTTCCCTCTCGCTATCAGTGCCTCTCTCAGTGGTTAAAGGGCGCCCATATGTGACTCAGCATGTCAAAATTAAAGCGTTCGATTTGCCATATCATGTGCTCTTGATAAGATATAGTGCGTATGAACTACATAATCAATGTTTGTCTAGATCAATGATCGAGTTAATTATAAATATTTGTATATTCTGTGTAGATTCGAAGTGATAGACGAGTGGTAAAAATTAATAGATGATAGTTTGGATATGGCATGAATTAAATTTGATCGGAAACTGATTGTCCAAGATCGTTCTGTAAATTCGAAATATGGTTTTCCATCCGATCGGTCTCAAACTCATTTTCAAAGGTCTTTGTCAGAATTCATCTGACATTATGTACATATGCAAACATGCATGCATGCGTGCATGTATATACGCAAACATGTGTGCATGTATATACGCAAACATGTCTGCGTGCGTGCATGTATGCATACATGTATGTATGCGCGCATGTATGAATAGATGTATGCATGTGCGCATGTATGAATAGATGCCCGGATGCATACATACATAAATGCAGACATACTTACATATATTATATATGTGCATTCATACATACATATATGTTTGTGTGCATGTCTGCATATATATGTATGCATGTTTATTTGTATATATGCATATATATATCTATATGTATGAATGTATGTGTATATGCGTACATACATGCAACCATACATACATACATATAAATAAACAAACCAAATAAACAAAAAATAATACCAAAAATTACAGAAAAAAAATAGCAACAAAAATCCCTACACTACTAGCTAAGGCTGAAAAACTGCTGGGCTTACTTGAATTTTTGAGAATCGAGGAGAAGGGCTCTTGATAGAAAATCGTTTTATTTAAATTTGCCTTTGGTATAAGAAACAAGGATGCGTACATATCTTCATAAATGCATATATACATGCATGCATACACTAACATACACATACACACACACACACACACACACACACACACACACACACACACACACACACATGTTATTATATACATAAAATATAAAATTTTTCTCTTTCCCAACCTTAATTTTAATTTACTTTCAAATTGTACTCACCATTAAATGTAAAATAAATATACAGCTACTAAATCTAAGGTCCCACAGCCGTGTAGGACCTTTTTGTGGGCTCCACATGCTGGCGATGTGGGCGCTGCGGCTATATCTGCAAAAGAAAGCGAGAACAACAAGAAGACCTGGTTAAATAATCAGATTCAATGCATGTACCGTACATCAAAGTGTCATCACAATGGCGGGGCAAGTGTCTGTCGCACCTGTTATTCGCCGTACAGTGGTTCAATATGGTTGTAAGTGCAACGAAAAGCAGAACAAACAATTGAGCTTTAATCGTGCGACGAACACTTCCCGGTTAACATCGTTTAATTCCTTTTTAAATCTCAACTATATCTTTTAAATGATTTGGAATCTTAAGAACTCCATGAAGTTTAGCAGTTGCTCGTTTCTTGGAACTCTTCATTAAAATAAATAAGTTTCTATTTGTGATATTTATATTGGATTCTCGTATGGGGTCTCTAAAAATATTACGTTCAAACGCGTTTAAAAAGAGGCCTAAATTTCGATTTAAAGCGAAGCATTTTACTTAAAGTAAGTTAGTATTTTAGCTTATGCATCAATGTATTATGCAACAAAAGACTCGAAGCTAAAGAGCTAAGATAAGAAAGGGTCTATTAAGTGTCAGCATGATGATGTTTGTGCTACATTTAAAATAAATGAAAATATCAAGTGTTCACTGTTATCGAAGTTGCGATAATGCATTTAGAGATTGTGAGGTCGTTCAGAACTGACCAGACCCAATACGAGTCTATCTCTGATAGGCACTCAATAATTGCTCAACGAATAAGCAAATAATAAACAATTAAATAACATTATATATACAGATTTCATAATAATTTTATAAATTTTATACAACATGATTTGTTGAAGTTTTTATTTATAAATAAACCGAATAAAACCTTGGCATATACAAATACACCCCAGTCTTATAATTTAGTTCTATACTCAAGCAATTGCCTTTTTAATAGAGCAACAGCATCATTTCTTTTTGCTGGCAAGATTTGCGCATTCTGTCCCACTGTGCGGCACTTTGCAACAGCCACTTAGCAGCAGGCGAGAGTTGGCGTGAGTGGCTGAGTGGGTGGCGTTTCAAATGCGGCTAATGAAAAGAAATTGGCCAATTGCGAAAATCTGCTGGGAGAGCTTGACGAATGCGAATGCCAAGTGCCAAATGCATTTTGACTGTCTCTCACGCTTGGTCCAGTTCGTCGTGACCCACAAAACGGCGAGGTCGGAAAAGCAAGCCGCATAAATTAGTCGAACGCTGCAAGGATTGCACTTGTACAGTTATCGATAAGCGATAAGCTGTTTATATATGAATGCGAAAAAAATTGGCAAATACAGAGAGTTATCGATAGTTATCGAAATTGATCAATTAGACAGAAATCCGAATGGTTATCGATAAGCGTGAATGCGAAATGAATGTGCAAAGCCTTAGCTACAAGCTGCTATAAATTATGACAGGATCGACTGATATAGAGAGTTATCGAAAGTTATCGAAATGGATCAATTGTGCAGATTGCAAGGGTTGCACTTTTATAACTATATGCTATTTATCGATAGTTATCGCTAGTTATTGTATAAACATGCAAAATCTAATGAAATTGTATTGTAGTGTTTTTCCCGTATAAATAATTAGTCGAGGCCAGAAAGGGTTTCATTTGAGGACAAATCGAAAAGCGATAAACGATTAAGTGTATGCTTATGTTTCAAATATCATATTATGGCTGGAATTAGCTAAAGTTATCGATAGTTATCGGAATCGTTGAATTGTGCAAATCTCTGAATGTCAAGAAACAGGTTTAAGAAAAACATTTCCCATGTCTCAGCATCTCAGCATGCTTCCAACGGATCCAACCAAATTGTCTGTGGCACATCTCTGGGGCTCGATGCCGCTTTGAACAGGCAGCAATAAACAAACTGAAATTTAATAAACGACAAGGCGGCTAATTTTGGTGGACCCAAAATTGAAACCCGTTTCCCGGATCAGGGGCCCATAGGCCAGGGGCCACAGCCCAATTCCCGCTGCTTGCTCCGTTGCCAAAAACAGCGCCGCAAATTGTGTTAACGCCCCAAAAGCGTGAGCTGGCCAAGCAATTTGGCTTATGATATTGTTTGGGTATAATTTCAACGTACTTCGATTGCACATAAATAAAAAATTACAAAAGAAATTATTAAAATAAGCACATCAATACAATTTAGATAATCAAGAGATAATGCACAGAGCTGACATGGCAGACAATTTAAAAAGAATAAGAAGAAGTCCTCAGATAAGAGATAATAGATATAAAGGTTCGTAATGCTCAATAAATCTGGGGATAAATGAATCTGGAATCAATTCAATAACGATTTGGTATTGCGCCTAAAACATTTTCTAAGATATAAAAATATTAGCATAAAATTAGAACAAAACAAAATTTTATAAGAAAACTTATTTGGGGCTTACTAAATTGATATATTTCTTGCAAATATTACGAAAAATATTTAATATTTGACGTGATGAAGTTAGTGTGGGAAATCAGCCAAGTTCGAAGCTCAATTTAAAATCTGTTTAAAATGGGTTTTATGCACAAAAGTTTTGTCGGGAAGTTGTTCAGTTCTCAAATTTCTATTGATCAAGCAGCAGGCGCACTTTCACTGCCGTTGCTCAGAAATTTGAAAGACAATTTACCGACATGTGGTGAGTCATGCAATCAATCAATCAGTTAGTCAATCAGTCAGTCAGTCAGCCAGTTAAACAGAGCAACGGACCAGCCCACATTGAAGCAATAATAATAAAAGCAAAGCACAAACAAAATCAAGTTCAGCTATGCGTAGTTGTATTTATATTTCTCTTTTATGATTACCTGTATTTGCACACTTTTACCGCCCAAAGGGGGGTGGAGCTTACGGTCAGGGGAGGGTAGCGGGTTTCGCTGGTAACAACAGGTGAAAATGAAATCGAAATTGTATGCGCGAAGCGGCTTTTCATCGATTTGTGTGCCGAATTCGAACAAAAGCCGGGCACACATTAAGCCAGATGGGCAGCAGCAGCTGCTGGATAAAAGATACAAGATACAGATACAAAATGCAGATACAGATACAGTTGGCAGCTGCCACATGCCATTGTTGTTGCTTGTTATTGCTTGTTGTTGTTGTTGTTCTTGTTGTTGTTGTTGTTGTTGTTGTTGCCTTCGAATTGAAGCGCAAAAATGCGGTCAGAATCGCGCGCAGAACTGTAAATTGTTTAAAACATCGACAACAACAACAACAACAACAAAGACAACGAATCAATGGAAATGCGATTGAACAACGGTAAATTGTCTACCTATAAAGTTTACACACTTTTTTTTTTTTTTACTACCTTATTTTGTAGATTTTTGTTGATTTAGTTTGTTGTCTTTAATTTGCGGCCGATTAATTTCTCTTTTTTTTTTGGGCAGCGCTTTTCACTCTTAACTTGGCTAATTGGCCGCGGGTTCCGTGTGCACAGAACAGATTACAATATAGTTAACTGTAAAGAACACCTGGGCGCATGTTGTTGTTGCCGAACTTTGAATACCCTTGCGAACAAGAACTAGAACAGCTTAAGGCATATTATATATATTATAAAAAACCTATTCCCATTTCCTATAAGCTCACGCCCAACTTGAAGCTCAACAATGGGCACTATCTTAAAATATTTGTTGCTCTGAACAGGAATATATATGCATATATCAATATATTTATGGCTATATACGAAGTTAGGGTATTAAGAGCTAGACAGAGCGAGAGAGAGAGAGAGAGAGAGCGAGCAGCAGCTTAAATGCCACACAGCGTTGCAGACGCCGTCGCGTCTAACTGTTTTGCATGTGGCAGCTGCCCCCGCTGCCGCTGCACCCAATTAAATGCGCCGGCCTGGCGGGGATCTACTTAAGCCGAGAGTCGGCAGGCCCAAATATGTAAGCCATAGAAAGTAGCATCAACGTGTGGCAGCGCCGTTGGCGGCGCATGTTGCACGCTCCGCTAGCGCTTAATTAATGTTAATGCTGGCAGCCGGCAGCCGGCAGCCGCAGCCGCAGCTGCAGCTGCAGCAGTTGCTGCCACAGCCAAGTTGCAATTAACAGCGTCGCATTTTGGCTGTGCAACGCAGGGCATGGGGCGAGCGGCGTGGCGGGTGCGCCACTTGCCACCTGATATGCTTGGGGCAGTGCCACAATATTTCATTAATAAGCCATTAACGTATCGATGCCCGCTACAAATGAAATGGAAAAGCGAATTGTCGCACAGTTTTCACTTTTCTTTCACAACTCGTTTTTTTTCTTAAGCGATTTTTTTTTTTTGTCGATCAGCTCTTTTTTAAATTAGCTATCAAATGCGGCGTTTTTCGGGCGTTTGTTTGGCTTGGGAAAAAGACCACTTTCCAATCGAAGCGGCATTTTCACACACACACACACACACACGCACACACGCACACGCGCGCGCACATAAAGCATTAAACGGTAAATCACCGAACAAAACGCAGTTACCCATAAATTTTGATGAAACTCTTCTTTTTCTTTTTCTCCAATATATATTTTCCTACACTCTGCCGGCTTTTTATTTTCTTGACGGCCAAACAATGAAAACTGCGGCACAATGGCCACAATTAATGTTGATTATTAGACATATATATACATCTAGATATATATATATATATATGTATAAAGATATATAGATATATATATAATATATATAGCTGAAAATGGTTCACTTTCTTTTGCACCTGATTTTAATTAAACCGGTTTCTAGAGCAGCCGCCCGAACTGGTCTAGTTGGTAATGGTTAATTGCTCGCCATTGGGCGCCGCATACACCAGCGTTCACATGAATATGTACACTAACAAAACATGTTTATATTTGATCAAAAAGTTGGCACAAATTTCAAAGAGCTATTTTTCATTGCACCCCATAATTAGCCATTCAATTGATTTTGCGGTCTTTTGATATCGAATAAATGTGTATATTTGTATTATCGTCAACATTTTAATGAGTTCTTTAGTTCACAACTTTTACGGATATTTGCCAAAAAATGCTTTTTAAAGTACTTTTCAAGTTAGCAAGTTT